ATAATTGCCGTACTGAAAGAGTTTAAAAAGTTGAAGCAGTTTTAATTTTAAGAGAATGGAGTTATTCTGTCCTTATCTCTATTTGTAAACAAACTACTTTGCACTAAATAAAGTGCAATAATAGCATTTATTTGCAATTGAAATTATTTTCCTACGCTTCACTTGTTCTTTTTGTTGTACCATTTTCATTGAAATGAAAATGTATGTAAAATATGCATTGCAAAATTAAGAATCTTTTTCTGGCAATGGTTAAAACTAATCTAGTAAGAATGTTTCCTTAATTCTCTATTACAAAATTATTGCTTTTATAATTTAATAGTTTAATTTTTTCTGTTGTAATCTGTTTTTCTCCTAGAATTACCTGAAATATTGATAAAAAGTATTATTGTTAAGAAAAAATTGTCTTGTCAAGATTATGAGCTGAGTCGTTCGGAAAGTCTGCAGTCAAATATTAATATATTATTATTGAATTATTTTTATTTTAAAAGTTGAAACAGTTTGGAACGTTTTCCACTGGCTCCTGTCCCTGGACATGGCCAATGTTTTTACCAGTACTCATATTGACAAAACATATCGTTCAAGAAATACAATTCGTCGTTTACAATTATCGTTTTCAATGAAATTATCGTTTGAAAAATGCAAATACAATTCTAAAAACTGGAGTATTTTAGTTTTCAATTCATTTTTTCTTACACGTTTAAAAAAACTGAACATTTGAAATATCTGAGAGGTTGATAAAAAGAATTTGTTTAATTTCTAATCAATGTTTCTAATATTCTATTTTAATAGTTTTTTGTCCATTTTTTCACTGTATATACAAATGTTTTCAGAGATTTTTCTTGATAAATATAATGTTTAAAAATTCTAATATTAAAAAAATATATCTATATATACAATTATATTAAAAAATATGAAGAATATATAAGAAATAAATTTTATGGTGTATCATCTGTTTGTATAGAAAATTTGTTTAATACAATATATGACATGTTAACTATGAAAATATATTTTCTTTCATTATGTGTTTGTGGACATACAATTTACTGTGTTATGGTGCTTTGTAAAATTTAAAATGATGCATGAATTAACTTTAATTGTGGAAGCTGCTTTAATCGGTTTTATCTTTGAACTGTTTAAAAATATGTTCTTACTTATTGTATTACCAGTACAGTTTTCTGAAATTGAAATTGGTAATGCTAAGTAACATTTTTCCTAAAAGTATTTCTTAATATTGTTTCCACTTAGGTATTTTCCAAGTTTCGAGAATTAACACTACAACGCAGCATAATACATAAACATCTTATTACTTACATGAAACAGTGATAATTTCACGAGAAATTATCCCTTGAACAAATTTTGAATGTGATTTATAATTATACTGCTTTGGAGCCTTCAACTAATTCTCAAGATTAATAATATTTATAAGCACTTCATGTTTCTTGATAGAAATTTTTATCGGCTTTCACTATGTATTGATGAGGTTTTTTAATGTTTAAATTTTCCTTCAATCTATATTAAAATTATTATTTTAACCTTTAAATTAACTTAACTACTATTTCCCTGCCTTTTGAAATATTAAATGTCCACATTCAAGAAAAATAATTATTCAGTAGCTCTCAATTAAGCTTAAAAAGATTTTACAACATATACGTGAATCACCTAATATTATCAAAGACTTAAAACAATTTCAAGAATAAAAATATATCTATATAAGTTTTATTAAATAGTTTATTTTGAAATGTTCTAAGAAATGTAAGATTAATAAAGCAAAATGTTTCAATTTTCATATTTAAGCTTTAAATATTGCAAATTTAAAAAAATTCTCTCCTGTGTTATTACTATTTTGACACAAAAAAAAGTTCGAAATTTATATCTTTGATAGCAAATACTTGTAACATACAGAAATTTTAAGAAAAACCTATTTTAAAGAGGAAAATTTCTCTACCAAAAAAGATAAAATTTTAAATAATACTCTCTTTCTCTCAGAAATATGCAGTTTCCACCAATACTGAAAATAGAATGTTTGTGTAAAGAACTGCTTTTAAACATTCATAATCCCTATCAATTTTAAAGTATCATACTTTAATTATTTCTCTTTAAAGTAAAACTCGCCTGTTTCTTAAAAGCTGAATGTTCTTTCTTTTTTTTTCTTCTCACTTTTAACTATTTTTGCTTTTCAAAGAAGAGGGAAACAGACTAAATGCTGTACTGTAAAAGAGTTATTTATTATTTAAGATCATTAGCATAAGCATGCAATTTCTCGCCCTAAAAACGAAAATTTTCTTTTCTTACTTGACAATTAAAGCAGCTTTCAAAAATTTAAATCCTTCTTTTTACAATATAATGTATTAAAGTATATTACACTATTTAAGAGTTATTTATATTCGCTTATGACGCGAAATTTATTGATTATGGCGATATATATTCTATTTAGCGTTATGTATAATTTCAGAATACTATTTTTTTTATTTTTACTGATAAGAAATTTTAGTGGAAAGTGAGGTAAAGCGTGTGTGATTATAAAATATATTCTAATTAGACATTTTAAAATCTTAAATAAGTTTTAATAGACATCATAAGGGAGATATAAACTGTTTCTGAATGGGAAAATATAGATAGAAATATTTACAGCACAGAACTGCAAAATTATCATTACAGAACAGAAATGTTTCAAAAAAAAATTTTTTCTCGTTATTTTTTTCCTAAAACTCACGTAATTCATACTATATATCGTATTTAAAAACATTAATGCTCTCGGTTTAAGACACATAAATCGAAATTTGAAGAAACTGTTATCTGGGAAAGAAACTGTTATCTGTTATCTGGGTTCCGATGAAGCATTTCGTCATATGATTTTCGTTAAAATGTTTAAACTTAATACAACATAGAGATTGACACAAATTATAAAAAAATGCAACTTAAAATTAGTTTTAGTATTCAGTCATCGCTATGAATCGTGCGAGGGAAAAAATGTCTGATAAAAGATGTGCATTTTCGCCTGTACCATTTCTTCATACAGCTCAAAGGATAATAAAATCAGATAAAGCAAAGTTGAAGTACCAATCGTGACTTCATAATGTACAAATAAAAGCTACCCAGCCCTTTAATTTACGTTAATATAAGCTACTATTCTCCTCCTACTGTGCTATGAAAATTGAATGTTATTCTTTAAACTACATTTCGCATCAATATTTACAAAACAAACGAGGAGCAACATAATGCTAAATAGCGTAACATAACATAATGTAATAATATAAGAAGATTAATAAGTGAGGACAAGTAGTTTCATTAAAGATTTGGAAATGTGCACATTGTCAAAATAATCACGATTTCAAATGACAAAATTAAGTTGACTAAATTGCCAACCGGCCTGTGTAGGAGTCAGAGAACTGACCTTACATCAGAAAGGTTCTGGGTTAGAATCCCGGGCAAGGCGTAGATGTTCTTTCAATCTGTCCTTACTGTGGGAGCAACGTTGGCCCACCTAATATGGTGCCCCTGAAAGAGTGGCCAACAAATCTGCCCTTCAGATGCCTGTATGACGAAAGGTCAATCTCCAGGTGGGCATTGGAAGAAAAAAAGTTGACAAAATTAACGAAATACAACGCAAGAATTGCTGAATCGTCAATCTGACGAGTTTTATTGAGAGTGTAAAAAGTTTTGAGAGAGTTATTAAGACAATAAATTGAAAATGTTACATTTACCTCATCCACTCTAACTAATTGTTGCTAGTAAGAATAGACGTAGACTGATTACTTAATATCATTATACTATTTAACTGAATATCTGCAAGTTACGTCTTCGAAGGTAAATCGTGACTGTTGATTCAGAAGCCGATCAGGTTCGAGACACACGAGTGACGTCGCTTACAGGTATCCAATTAAATCTGATTTAAATCACATGGTTAGGCATAATCACGTCACTTCTCGAGTTGCAAGTGTACGTACTAATAAATACTTATAAAGTGTTTTAAATACCGCTCAACTACTCATATCATACGACACAATAAAAAGCAATAAGGAAGTATTAACATATCGCATTTCTCCCAAACAATTAGTAAGTAATTTTCAAGATCAAATTGGATGCATCCAATTTCTCACTTCAGATGTTTTGAACTTTACCTCACTTTTTGAATGGAGACTCTTAGGAACTGTTCTTAATTAAATTTGATTACAATAATTAAACTAAAACTATTAACATAGAATCCCCATTTAAAAATTAGGTTATAAGTTTAAAGGGTATATTAAGAAAACATTTTTGTTATCAGTGCTTTGTTTGCTCTCTGTTTATATAAACTTTCGTTAATATAATTGATTTCGCAACTTAAATTCAATATATGTTGTGAAATTTGCTAAAGATAATTTTGTTGCTTAAAGTTAATATAATTATATTCGCAGCTTAAAGAGTAAGTCTAATTAAATACTACGTGGCTTAATGTTACAGTAATTAAATTCACTGTTTAATTTTAATATAATTAATTTTATTGCTTAAAGCTAATAACGTTAACTTCAAACAGACAAAACACTATTACACTGACAGCGATATAATGTTTTTTAATTTTTTTTTTATTAATTCAAAATATTTCGTTTGAAATTTCAAAAATATGCATTAAACATTACGTTTTTTTAAAAATTATAAATAATGCAGAATTGTTTTGATAGAAGCTACCTTATTTAGATATAAGTCTAGTCTTATTCGCTCGAATTGTTGACGATGAACATTGATACAAACAGTGGGGAAAAAATCTTCTATACGCAATAATAATTCCATTTTTGACAACCGGGTAAAAGTAGTCAAAGTTATAGTTCTTTATTTGCATTAGAGCTGCACAATGGGCTGTTAGCAACGATCTGAGAAAAATCTCTAAAAATGATCCGAAGACAAGCCACCACAATTTTGAACCTCAGTAGAGGGAATGGCTCACCCACATTGGTAGCTAGACGACCTTTGCAGAGGAAGTTAAGCAGTTTATGATAAAAAAAATTTAGCAAGGACCAATACCGCGTACCCTAGGTCCCTATGCAGGCTGATCAAGGAGGTCACCCTCCAGCTCACTGACCGCTGACAGTAATGCTGGACTTCTGTGTTTTACTGGGAGCCGTGTCTCTACACTGCGGACCCCACCGGATAAGAAGGGCAAAAGTTATGAGCAAAAACAAACCTTTTTCCATCCACAGCTTATGTTCAATAAGTAAGGCAACTGCACCAACCACATTTTCAAAGTGCGTTCAACTATAAAAAGAAATTTATGACGGGTTAATGTATAAAAGTGCAGAAACGTGTCATGTTTAATAGTGTTTTTGTTTCTCACTTGATAGAATATTCTTTTACGACTGGCAATGGGTATACTGTTTTATTTCTTTTTCAGCAAGAATTCAATAAAATATATGTTAAAGGCGTCGATTAAGTATTATACCAAGTGTTTTTAACAAACGTCAACCATAACGAACTCTAGATTGGTCTAAATAAAGCAGTCAACAGCTTGCAACTTTAGCTTTTAAGCTTTTCTCTGTTAAAAAATTGCATAGAGTTGAAAAATTTCATTACCTTTTTGAATTTTTTGTTTTTAACAAAAATGGAAAAATTAAAAAGTGCTTGATGTAAATCAGTAATACATTAATTGCATTCCTTATATTTTATAATTTATGCCATGGCTTATACTTTTATGCTCTCTCTTACATTATTAATCTACTCAGAGTTTCCATTCACTACACTTCAATTTCTTTCATTCAATTAATATTTTTAAAGCTGTGATAATTTCATTGTGAATCATTCGAATTCTGCTTTACTGAAATAAATATAAAATGTTACTTAAGGTACCTATGTAGCTTTTATTCCTTAATATTATTTATCTGAATAAACTTTATTGTTAGTTGATACCATATCAAATATATATTTACTTTTATAATGAACCAACGTGTTGAACTTGTTTTCGTTTAATGTGTTGTTGTGTCCAATATTGCTGTGATTTAAGTTGTTTTGTTAATATTTCCTTTTCACTGCATGGCATCATTGAATTCTGTAAAGTTTGTCAATCTCCCGAAATTTTTGTTTTGTGAACAAATTTCGTGAGAGAGATGTTAATTGATATTTCTTCCATGCTGTACAATTAGTTTAAGTAAATAAAAACACTCTCATGATATCTGTATTTATTTTATCTATTTTTTTTAGCACAATGAGTTTAAATATGTATTTCTGTTTGAATATATGTTATTCGTACGAGGTAATATTGGTGAGTTATCAATATTAACTGGATACCTGCATAGGTAAATCATGACATTTGTTGATTCAGAAACCAATCAGGTTCGACGTACACGGGTGACGTCGCTTACAAGTTTCCAATTAAATTTGATTTAAATTACATGAGGCACTATCACTTCGCTTCTATTAGAGTTGCAAATACCCAATTACCACTAAGAAATACTGCTCAAAACTGAATGACATATCGCTACAATTAAAACAGCTAAAATAATTATTGAATTTTATTATTATTTGTCCCCCTTTCCAATGACTTGAGGTTATTGGATAAGTAAAATATGTTTTTAGAAGTACATCGTACCAAAATAAAAATCAACCTTATTTTTCCGCATCTAACATAACGCTAATGTTTCTGACCAGCTCCTGATAGTCAACTTTCCTGATGAATTTGCCCTTTTGTAAATACTTTTTTTCATTCCAATTACCATTGATTTTTTTATTATTTAGGATAATTAGGCTACACGTTTAAGGAGATCAATTATTTAAAAAAAATCAGTATTTTTTTTAAAAAATGTTTTCAAACTACTAAAGCTGTAGTGGATCAGTAACTTACGAGTTGCATGCAAGACTATCTCAATTTTCGAGAATAGATTCTCACAAATACAAAGTTGCTTCGTTAAGTTTAGTATAGCCTTTAATGTTAACAATGGTTGGTTTGTCATTAATTCTGATTATATTTTAACTAAATTAATTTATGAAATGAGATATTTGCTTTAAAATATATCAGTATTTAAAATATATCAGTTTAAGGAGATCAATTATTTAAAAAAATCAGTATTTTTTTTTAAAAATGTTTTCAAACTACTAAAGCTGAAGTGGATCAGTATCTTAAGAGTTGCATGCAAGACTATCACAATTTTCGAGAATAGATTCTCACAAATACAAAGTTGCTGCGTTAAGTTTAGTATAGCCTTTAATATTAACAATGCTTGGTTTGTCATTAATTCTGATTATATTTGAACTAAGTTAATTTATGAAATGAGATAATTGCTTTAAAATATGATATATTGCGTTTAAAACTTTTTAGTGTCTTTTAATAGCTTCGAAACATCTCCAAACGAACCTAAATTAATGATATTCTTATAAGTTAAATACGTTATAATCTCTTATGAATCTTCCCTTCTCTTTTATAATTATAAAAATCAATGAAAACAATGAAGATAATAAAAAGATCTTGTAACAAATATTGTTTTAGTTAAAAATGATTATTGTATTGAATAATTTCAAAGGCAAAACCGTAACTACAAGGCACATATATAATATATAAAGCACAACCTTTACATAATTAATATACAGCTTACCATTCCATGGCTGCTAGTGATGCTTAACAGATAATCTTAATATCAGCTTAGCATACCGTTCCTACGAAACAAACGACAGATTAATTTTTCTACAAGAAGACATCCCAAACATACAATTAAAACAACGTTCTTTACAAAATTGAAATATTAATGAAGTTAAATTCCTTAAATATTTTCTCTTTTATTACCAAAACAATTTAATGTCGAAATTTGATATTTAATGCGCAGAGAAATATTTAAAGAGTTTTCCCTCTAATGTTAGATAATATAAAAAGACGCATTTTTTTTTCAATGAGTGATAAAAAGGCAACACCCACCCTTGTTAACGCCACGCTAAGACAAAAAGCTTATTAATATTATTATTATCGAATAAGTGTATCGATAAGTCAAATTTTGTTTAGTCTAAAATAAATGGTTTAGCTTTACCATTGAGGCACAGCGTTTTTTTATAACAAGTTTTTACCCATGAGACTGGTCCATCGAGCTGAGATGCTCTTTAATTCGAACCTTTTATTTCGAAGGTGATAATTTTGCTACAGACTTCAATAAACAAAGCATGGGTGATTTATTTAAGTTGAAGCGAGCCGTCAAAAGTAAGGCAACAAGAGTAACCAATTCTAATGAAGCTTTATTAGAAGATCCAAGTTTTTATGTTGCACATTGTGATATCTGCTTGCGTGAATTTAAGTGAACTTAATTTAGAAGTCTCGAATCGATTTAAGGATATCTTAGTAAGTTGCGATGAAGAAAAACTTTTCGGGATAATAAATAAATTGGATAATTTTAAATTATCTTTGAAAGTTCGAAACAATGAGTTCACAAGTCAACAGTTCACTTAAGATTCGACTTCACTTTTTCCAGATACTTGGAAGGCTAATACTAATCTTTTGAAGTTAAAATTGCCAACTTTTCCAGGTGATCTTTTCACTTGGATATCATTGCGGGATTTATTTTCTACCACTGTTCGTAAAAATAAGTTACTGTCAATTTTTCAAAAGTTACAATGTCTGAAATTATCGGTAAAAGGGGAAGCACTATCGGTAAGGAATTTGATTAACATTTTGGATGTTAACTTTGGCGAGACTTGGATCACACATAGAAAGATATATCATAATGAAGTAGACCTTGTTTATTATCATTTAGAAAAATTATTTATGCAGCCTAGTTAGCAATTTGAGCTAACTATAGATTTGAGGATGTTTTCTAACATATCAGATGATTGTTTAAACAATTTGCAAATTTTAAAACTACAAATTAATAGATGGGATTCTGTTTTAGTTTATTGTTTTCGAAGGGAACTAAACAAAAATTCATTGAGAGAATGGGAATTATCTCAAACGAAGAAAAAATTACCAAATTTTGAAGCGTTGAAGTTATTTTTAGACAAAAGGGCACGTTTAATTAAAACAACAACTATGCTTTTATAGAAACCGAAGTTTAACCCTTTAACTGCCATTTATTTCTAGTACTAGAGGGCTCCGCCCCCTGCTCGCTGACGCTCGCCAACCCCCGGAGAATTGCTTCGCAATTCTTGCTTGGTTTGCTTCGCAAAACCAAGAATGNTAATTGTTTATTTACTAAGTTCATTTACCACGACCTATTAGGAACTTATTAATTTTTATTTTTCGTTATTTATAGAATATATTTTAGAAATCCTACAAACTTCAAAAGGAATTATGTATTTTATAACTTTTATACGTTTTCTTAAACTAACTAATGGCTACCAATTTTATTCAAACGCACTTCAAGAAAGCTGAAGTTATTAACAAATGGAAGCCTATATTAAATGCTGTAAAGAAGTTCACCATGGACTTTAAAAATTGGTGGTAAGTATACTTCCCACGGCCTTAGAAAGGGTTAAGTTTTCTGAGGCAAAAAACTTCAAAACGCAAATCCTACAAAGCAAACCGGAATGTTGTATTCTTTGTTAAGGTTCAGAGCTTTTATTTATTTTGAAGTTTGTTTAAGAAAGAAAAACTTTAGTTTTAAAAAAGCTTCGCCTTAATTGCTTAAGGATGGGATATTCAGCTGTTAATTGTAAAAGTAAACTGTGCAACTTTTGCTCAAATATCCCAGTTTGTTACATCTTAATAAAGAGCCTAATTTGACGGCAGTTGGTGATTTAGATGACAAATCATCAGATAGTTATTCTATCGGCACAAAGCTAGTATTCTTCGGACTGTAATAGTTCAGTCACATAAATGATTCATCTGGACACAGTGTTTGTTTTCGAGCACTTATTGACTCTGTATCAGAGCCTCGCTTCATTAGGAAGATTTCGCACAACGTTTACTTTTAAGAATGAGAAATACGAATATTACTTTATTTGGCCTATCGTCGTAACCCTTGACTTAAAATGGAAGTTTTCTAAATGCTATTCTTAGTTAAGAGCGTGATTCAGGATTCAGTTTATATATCTCAGTCTTGGTGTTTCTTAAGTAACTTCCAACTTCCTTAAAATAAAGTGAATTTGAAGAACTTAGACTATTTCCGAGGACGCAGATTTGTAAATCTACATTTTAATCGTAAAATAAAATAAATGTGTACTTGGAAGCAAACGCAAGTATTTATGGAAAATTAAATTTTTTAAAAAAATGATCTAAGAGATTGTATACCTTGCCATTCAAAATATTTTTAACTGTTATAAAGTAAAATAATAAATATTTATTAACAGTTACTTTTGCATGGAATTATCTTTAAATAAATGAATTTTACAATTGTGTGCAAAAGTTTTTAATTATATATCTATCTTAGTGGTCACTCAAACTTTGCTTTAACCAGATAAAAGCTAGTCATAAAATAACTGTGCACTAGTTAGCTAACTAGTTTGATCCATTCACCCACCTACAAAATAAGTATATTCTGTTACTTTTACAGTAACTGTTATCCTTATTTTATGAAATTTCTATAAAGCATTGCTAAAATGCTCTACAGAATGTAAATCAGACCAACAGCTCCAAAATTATAAGAGTGGCCCGTTTCTTTTTCGTTTATTATTATTATTTTTTGCTGGCTGTACATCCGCGCCTATTTTATATATATTGTATGCATATACATGCGTACATACCTTTTATGTAGGTAAAATGGTACATGAATTTTCATACACGTATAGAATATGCGGGTGGTGGACAAAATAATGGAAACACTTCTATAATAATACATTTTTCCTTATTTCTCAAGAAATAATTAAAGAATCATTTTATAACTTCAGAAGTGTTTAGATCATGTAATTTCATCATTCATTCAATCTCATGCTTCTCAATGAAGTTTAAAGCTTTGTGGTTTAAGGGACCGACAGTAAATTGCAAGCGGAAGATATTGTTTCTGAACACTCTATGTTAAAAATGCAGGAGTGAATTTTTGACTTGTAACAATTATTTTGGTTATTATATGCAATAATTTAGCAAACTTTCGTAAACCTACCTTAGATATTTACGGAGATATGAATATTTTGATAAAAACTAATTTTTTTTATCTTATCTTTTTTTTATAACTTTAAAAATTGTCACTAAAATTAATCAAAATTTTTGGAGCAATTTAAAATTAATTACAAAATTATTGTCTTAAAATTTTAGAAAAATTTACTTAAAATTGTGAGCGATATGAGTAATTAAAGTAGCGCATGAGCTGAAAAAATTTAACATTTTTTTTCTCATGATTTTATTATGAATCGTGCTTGGCAACTAATGAAAAAAGTTCGATTTAAATATCTTAAACATTTTAAAAGTTTGAAGCAATTTTCAAAGTAGTTTTTGTACGTTTTGAAAAGATCTAAAAATGATAAGGGGATTTCTACAAATATTATTTTTTATCATAAGACAAAATTAAATAACAAGAGATAATTTCTTAAAAAAAACGCTTATACACCGAAATATGATTGTAAAGAAAAGAAAACGAGCAAAAGAAAAGATGTTCTTATGAAGGATGATCCCCAACAATGACATTTTTTTAAAATATATTTTGCATATTAGTACGAAATAAAGTTTGTGGAAATCCCCATATCATTTTGAGCTTTTTTTTTAAAAACAAAATACAAAAACTACTTAGAAAATTGCTTGAAGCATCTTAAATTTTTAAGACATTCAAATTGGGCTTTTTTTAATATATGCCAAATACGATTTTCTACAAAATTATGAGACAAAAATTTTAAGTTTTTCTCAAGCAATCGCAGTATAAAAGAACTACTTTATTTACTAATATCTTGCGTAGTTTTAAACAAATTTTTTCTCAAATTTCAAAGCAATAATTTTGTAATTAATTCATTAAATATTTTTAAAGTTGTAGCAAAAACGTAAGGCAAAGAAATTAATTCCTTATAAAAGTATATATCTCCATAAATATCTAAGCTAGGTTTACGAATTGCATATAATAACCAAAACAATGGCTAAAAGTTAGAAATTTATTATTACAATTTTTTGGTATAGGGTGTTCAAAAATACTTTTCCATTTGTAATTTATTGTCGGTCCCTCAAACCTTTGAAAGCTTTGAAGCATCAAAAAGTATAAGAAATCGCATGATATAAACAATTCTAAAGTTATAAAATGATTCTCTAATTATTTCTTGATCAATATTGAAAAATTTATTAGTACAGAAGCGTTTCCGTTATTTTGTCTAACTACTGTATGTGATACATTTTAGTTATATGTGTAAATACATTGTACTATACAATGTCTGTATGTTCGTAAAAACAAACGTAAATTCTTTGTATGTACTTACGTACAAAACCACGGACGTATATTGCACGCAACTATGTGCATAAAATACATGCATTATTGGTATGTAAATACGCACGCACATGTCTACATTCTTTGTACAGGTATATACATTCAAACATTTAATTTAGATAAATACATATGTTAATACATTTTAGTTTGATACATGCTTAATACATACAAAATATGTATATCATTATACTACACAATATTCAATTTATTAAATGAAACGGTGTCAAAATTCTGGGTTAATTGCTCAACATTCGAAAACCACATTTTGAGCTGTGCCCAGTTTCGAAAACACGCATTATCAGCTATGTCCATTTTCGTAAACACGCATTTTGAGCT